AGGAAACGAAGCGGCGGACGTACTAGCTAAGGAAGGCGTCGGGCTGGAGAATAGGAGAACCGAGAACGTGCCTGTCTCCCTCAGAACGCTGCAAGGCGATCTAGAGAAGCAGGCTAGAGCACAGACTGATAGCAGGTGGAGGAGTACCACCACCTGCAGAACCTCGAAGATAATGTGCAAGGAGCGCAACGAGAAACTTAGCCACTACCTACTGCACCTACTACGAAAGGACTGTAGATTGATAGTGGGAATACTAACAGGTCACTGTCTGGCTGCTGCACATGCAGCAAAGCTAGGCATCACCAACAGAGACAGTTGTAGGAAATGTGAGGAACCTGGGGCTATCGAAACCCTGGAACATCTCATCTGCAACTGTTCGGCTCTCTCAAGGGCAAGGAGGAGATACCTGGGCGCCCCAGTGTTGGCATCACTGGAAGATGCCTCGAAAAGGACGCCACAGGAACTGCTGGCCTATGCTAAAAACACCTCGATTCTCGGGGACTTTTAAAACCACATTAACACTCCCGCGACGGTTCATACACCCCCCATCCGGATAACTAAGGGCCATATTGGCCTATGCGTGGCCCCGCTGAGGGCCGTCCGGGTTAACCTAACCTAACCTATAAACATCTAGCAACGGAGAAATTTTTGTAGTAAATGTAGTGAATGTTGCCAAAAAAGCTCGGCAGCTTCCAACCTTAAGGCTGAAGAGGGCTTACATAACTCTTTTTTAGCCATATTTTTTAATTATGCTATGAAACGTAAGACTGTACAAACTATTTTTGTGCAAAGAAAGCTTTCTTTGTCAGTTCATTTTTATACCCGATACTCAAAATGAGTATTGGGGTATATTAAATTTGTGGTAAAAGTGGATGTGTGTAACGTCCAGAAGGAATCGTTTCCGACCCTATAAAGTATATATATTCTTGATCAGCATTAATAGCCGAGTCGATTGAGCCCTGTCTGTCTGTCCGTCCGTCCGTCTGTCCGTCTGTCCGTCCCCTTCAGCGCCTAGTGCTCAAAGACTATAAGAGCTAGAGCAACGATGTTTTGGATCCAGACTTCTGTGATATGTCACTGCTACAAAAATATTTCAAAACTTTGCCCCACCCACTTCCGCCCCCACAAAGGACGAAAATCTGTGGCATCCACATTTTTAAAGATACGATAAAACCAAAAACGCAGAATCGTAGAGAATGACCATATCTTTTAGACTGCAGAATCTGAATTGGATCGTATTATTATTATAGCCAGAATCAAGAAAACAATTTCATTTTTTCTCGCCCTGTCTCTCTCTAACACACACGTAGCATAGGCGGCTTTGCTTAGAGTAAAACATTAGCGCCTAGATCTCAGAGACTATAAAAGCTAGAGCAACCAAATTTGGTATCCACACTCCTAATATATCAGACCGAGACGAGTTTGTTTCAAAATTTCGCCACACCCCCTTCCGCCCCCGCAAAGGATGAAAATCTGGGGATATTCATAAATCTCAGAGACTATTAAGGCTAGAGTAACCAAATTTGGTATCCGCACTTCTGTTAGATCTCACTATAAAACGTATATCTCAAAATTTCGCCCCACCCCCTTCCGCCCACACAAAGGACGAAAATCTGATGCATCCACAATATTGCAGAATTGAGAAAACTAAAAACGCAGAATCATAAATAATGACCATATCTATCAGGTTGCTGAATCTGGATCAGATCGGATCATTTTTATAGCCAAAAGGAACAAATCAATTTGCAGTGGCTACGCAGCGCCCGACGTCACGCTCAGACTGATTTTCTGTCTCTCTCGCACGCACTCTTTGTCGTGTCGTTTAATATTAGCGGCGTCTGCCGGAGGAGAGCCATACTGACTTATTATCGGGTATAACCGTAGAGTTGCGGTGTCCGCAGCAACTCACAACGTTCCCCCTCGTTAATTGTAAACAAGAGTTGAAATATGGAGTATTTTTTTTTAACCAATCTAAATATGGATCTTTAATATGAAATCAAATTGTCTCTTTTAACTAATAGGCTCTGCACACTGAGCTCATCCCGGGGGTATGGTGGGATTTTTAGACAGATGTGAAACTCCGATTCACATTGGTAACATCCACCAGCCGTCAAAATCATCTTATGCCACTAACAAGTACATTCAATTCGCGCGGAATAATTATTAATTATTAATTAATAATAATTAATTAATTAATTAATAATTAATTAATAATTATTAATTTTTATACCCGACACTCAAAATGAGTATTGGGGTATATTAGATTTGTGGTGAAAATGGATGTGTGTAACGTCCAGAAGGAATCGTTTCCAACCCCATAAAGTATATATATTCTTGATCAGCATCAATAACCGAGTCGATTGAGCCCTGTCTGCCCGTCCCTATTAGCGCCTAGTTCTCAAAGACTATAAGAGCTAGAGCAACGACATTTAACATCCAAGCTTCTTTGATATGTCACTATTACAAGTACATTTCAAAACTTTGCCCCGCCCATTTCAGCCCCCACAAAAGGCGAAAATCTGTGGCATCCACAAATTTAAAGATACGAGAAAACTGAAAACGCAGAATCGAAGAGGATGACTATATGTTCTAGAGTGTAAAATCTGAACAAGATCGTATAATTATTATAGCCAGAATCAAGAAAACAATTTCATTTTTTAAAGCCCTGTCTCTCTCTAACACACACGTAGGATAGCCGGCTTTGCTTAGCGTAAAACATTAGCGCCTAGATTTCAGAGACTATACAAGTTAGAGCAATCAAATTTGGTATCCACACTCCTGAGATATCGGACCTTGACGAGTTTGCTTCAAAATTTTGCCACACTCCCTTTCGCCCCCGCAAAGGACAAAAATCTGGGAAATCCACAAATCTCAGACTATTAGACCTGACTGTAGAGCTCTCACTGTTACAAAACTATTTGTAATTTTTCACTGCAGAACTCACTGTTACAAGTTTATTTCGTTTTGCTCACTGTAGAGAGCTCACTGCTACAAGTGTGATTCAAAATTTCGCCCCATCCCCTTCCGCCCGCACAAAAGACGAAAATCTGTGGCAACCACAATTTTGAATATAGGAGAAAATTAAAAACGCACAATCATAGGGAATGGCCTTATCTACCAGATTGCCGAATCCGAATCAGATCGGATTATTATTATAGGCAAAAGTAACAAATCAATTTGCAGTGGCTACGCAGCGCCCGTACATTCGATACATTCAGCCAGGCTCCGTTTTTCACATTCACAAAATTTTTCCGATTTACTTTTGAATACACATAAATTGGGGCTTCCGTTTTCACATTCCGCAAGATTTATTCGTTGTGAAAACGAAAACATTTTCGTTGACGAAATGAAAAGTCAACGGAATTTTATACAACGAAACGAACCTTAATTGCAAAAGGAAAAAATAGATGACTTATTGATGCACTAACATAAACTTGACACCTATATCCTATATCAGGGTAATTTAACTTTTGCTTTCTTTATAAATAATTTTATTTTAACCCAACCTCAAATGTGGCTCGGAAAAAATTGGCCAGGGCAACAACAATTTTCGTTTTGGTGCAAACAGCAAAAATATTTAAAAGCTGGAGATCCTTAAAACGAAAACGAAAGGTTTTGGCTGAAAACGTAATCCGCAAAAGTAAATGAAAAACGGATGCTTGAATAAGTGAATTTTTTAATTTTGATTGGTCGAAACCCAGAAAAAGTTTCCTAATTCCTAAAAAAAATGCTGGACCATAATCTTTGTATTCCCCAGTATACGACATAATATTTTGTATTTAAATTTAAATTCATTAATGTACCTTTTGAGGAGGTGTTTTGAGAATCAGCAAACGCGATATTGAAGACTCGACAAAAAAAAGACAAGAATGGCAGAAATACGTCTGAGAGACTCCGACTAATGGGTACCACAGCACACAGGTCACTCATCCATACTAAACAATAGCAATATAGTCCCAAAAATGGAGTGCCGAGATATACCCCGATACTCCTTTAAACTTAATAATCCCTCACAGAGACGAATGGCTCGAGGGACTTCCAGGTCCAGATGGGGCCATAAACATCTTCACAGATGAATCGCAGCAGACAAGGTTTCCAGATCACTGACTAAAATCCCAATTCGCCAAGACTAGGAGGGTGATCGAATGCAAATGGCCACCTGTTAGCTCATTATAAAAAAGCAATTCAAGCGACTAATTGACTAATGGGTGGCCAATAGTGACACTTTTTCGCATAACTCGGCAAACATGGCCGAAACATCACAAAGAGGCGCACCACTTCACAGTGGGCGGAACGGCCTCTCTGGCGGAATTAAAGCCGCAACACTACATTTATACCCGATACATAGTCAGTATGGCTACATTGAACAACAAAAAGTGCGAGCGGAAGAGACAGAAAACGTGTCTGAACATGTCGTCGGGCGCTGCGTAACCACTGCAAATTGATTTGTTCCTTTTGGTCCGATCTGATCCAGATTCGGCAATCTGGTAGATATGGTCATTCTTTATGATTGTGCGTTTTTAATTTTCTCGTATCTTCAATATTGTGGATGCCACAGATTTTCGTCCTTTGTGGGGGCGGAAGTAGGCGGGGCGAAGTTTTGAACTATTCTTGTAGCAGTGAAATATCACAGAAGTGTGTATACAAAATGTTTATCTAGCTCTTATAGTCTTTGAGCACTTGGCGCTCGGCTCGGACAGCCGTATTCCTACACAACTGAGAGACAATGTATGCTCAATATTAGAAAAAGATATCTTGAAAACTGAGCGACTAAGTTTTTTCATTAAAAAAACAGGATGGTTTATCGACTAGGCTAGTCAACCTAATATAGAATAACTGCACATCAATCATAAAATATAGAGTCCGAGATGCTTTCTTAAGGTCATTGCAACCATCTGAGAATATAGGGAGAATTAACTGTTAATACATTGCTAAACATATGCGGCAAAACCATATGGACCGACACATGTACCAACATACGAATATGTAGATGTACGTACACGCATACTATTTTGTAATATCCGTTGTTCTGTAACCGTAACCTCATTGCTACAGCAATCAAAATCAATAACATTGTTTAGATCTGGTGTAGTACATTTCGCTTTATAATATTTAAAAGACCGTTGGAACATTATAAAATATGAGTAACAAATTAATGTGCCGACCGAATAAGGATTGATAATGAGATATACAACTTCTTAGCATGCGTATGCATATGTCAGTATTTTTTAATAAGTGCAGAGTCCAAATAATAGTGGTATTCTAACAACTAGTATTAATTTGTTTTTTTTTTTAAATTAGTTTTTACAACATTTAACTTTTTAACACATACATATAGCGCTATATAGTGCTCTCTTATTTGCCGTTGTAACTTTAAGTTACACCAGATCGATTTGATGTTCTTTAAGTATAGTGTAAGATAGTCTAGGGCGAAGCGGCAGCATATTAAAGCTATCTCTCGTTCTTGGCGAATTCGCCCCACTTCGCCACCGTGGATAAGTAAGACCAAAGAGCTATTTATACGAAGAAAAAAATAATCGTTAAATGTGACGTACTTTTCGTACTTTCACGTGTACAACAGCCAGAAGGAAGCGTTTCCGACCCCATAAGGTATATATATATTCTTGATCAGCATCAATAGCCGAGTTGATTGAGCCATTTCAGTCTGTCTGTCTAATGTCAATGTCCCTATGAGCGTCTAGTGCACAGAGACTAGAGCAACGACATTTTGTATCCAGACTTTTGTGATATGTTACAGTTACAAGTGTATTTCAAAATTTCTCCCGCCTCCTTCCACCCCCACAAAGTTCGCAAATCTGTGTCATCTACAATTTTGAAGATATCTTCCAAGATAGGAAGATCTTCCAAATTGGATCAATACTATAGCTAGAAGGAACAAATGAAATTGCAGTGGCTACGCAACACTTCCACGCGCTTACTCATTCTATCTCCCTCTCTCACACACTATTCCACGAGCAGTGTACACCCTCTGGCGATTTAAACGGTTAACATAAAGAAAATTGGAAACAAATTAAATCTAATATATAACGAGGGGGAACGTTGTGAGTTGCTGCGGACACCGCAACTCTACAGTTATACCCGATACTAAGTCAGTATAGCTCTCCTCCGGCAGACGCCGCTAATATTAAACGACACGACAAAGAGTGCGAGAGAGACAGAAAATCAGTCTGAGCGTGACGTCGGGCGCTGCGTAGCCACTAAAAATTGATTTCTTGCTTTTGGCTACAAAAATGATCCGATCTGATCCAGATTCAGCAATCTGATAGATATGGTCATTATCTATGATTCTGCGTTTTTAGTTTTCTAAAATCTGCAATATTGTGGATGCAACAGATTTTCGTCCTTTGTGTGGGCGGAAGGGGGTGGGGCGAAATTTTGAGATATACGTTTTATAGTGAGATCTAACAGGAGTGCGGATACCAAATTTGGTTACTCTAGCCTTAATAGTCTCTGAGATTTATGAATATCCCCAGATCTGCATCCTTTTCGGTGGCGGAAGGGGGTGTGGCGAAATTTTGAAACAAACTCGTCTCGGTCCGATATATTAGGAGTGTGGATACCAAATTTGGTTGCTCTAGCTTTTATAGTCTCTGAGATCTAGGCGCTAATGTTTTACTCTAAGCAAAACCGCCTATGCTACGTGTGTGTTAGAGAGAGACAGGGCGAGAAAAAATGAAATTGTTTTCTTGATGCTGGCTATAATAATAATACGATCCAATTCAGATTCTGCAGTCTATAAGATATGGTCATTCTCTACGATTCTGCGTTTTTGGTTTTATCTTATCTTTAAAATTGTGGATGCCACAGATTTTCGACCTTTGTGGGGGCGGAAGTGGGCGGGGCAAAGTTTTGAAATATTTTTGTAGCAGTGACATATCACAGAAGTCTGGATCCAAAACATCGTTGCTCTGGCTCTTATAGTCTTTGAGCATTAGGCGCTGAAGGGGACGGACAGACGGACAGACGGACGGACGGACAGACGGACAGACGGACGGACGGACAGACAGACATGGCTCAATCGACTCGGCTATTGATGCTGATCAAGAATATATATACTTTATGGGGTCGGAAACGATTCCTTCTGGACGTTACACACATCCACTTTTACCACAAATCTAATATACCCCAATACTCATTTTGAGTATCGGGTATAAAAATCTAACATACGGTTCGACCGATTTTTATGAATTTTTTTTTTATATCAAATGGTTTGTTATTGTTTCAGTCCCACCTGAACGATAGGTGGCCAGGGCTGAGGGAGACGCGCCATCTAGCGGAAGTCCAGGGAGGCTCGATGGTGTATGAGGACATCGGGGGGAGCTGGATCCGTTACTGGGGGTGTAAGGAATAGAATAGGACTAGTTATATGTATTAGTAAGGGATAAGGGGATAAATAGGAGCGAAAATATTAAAAAACGTGGATTGGATTATGGAACTCGTGGAGCGTGGACGGAAGAGTAACGTCGAAATTTGAAATTTTGTGCTTAAACAGAAAGTTTGAAGTGAGTACAGAAAAAAGGCGGGTGTGCAAATAGGTTGTAATGTAGGAAATTTTACTCACAGCCGGCAAGGAATACAGCCACCAGAACCGGGCCAGAAGGTTTCCTGGAGAGAAACACTGGGGTTCGAGAAAGTCGACGGCAGAGAAGAAGACTGTCCAACGTGAACCTGAGTGAGTTCGTTCCAGTTGCTCGTGTGTGAGCCAAGAAGCGCGGGACGTGTGAAGGGGGAGGGTGAAAGAGGACGATTTAGCTGCCAGAGCGATCCTAGCCACATCGCACGATCGTTGCATCGTCTTCCAGTGAGTGCCACACGTTTAGTCTCATTCACCACGTAAAAACCCCGAAACCCTATTTACACACATGCACGCGCACACCTATACACGGACCTATATAAATTTAGGGCTGACCGGCGACGGCCAGCGATCGCCCACGTCGTTTGAACTTAAAGAAAAAAAACATAATCCGCACTCCAAACACCTTCCACATTAAATGTTATTTTGTTCCGTGTGTTGTCCTTTATTTAGTATTTAGTATAAGCTTAAACCGTTTAACGTAAAATTAGGCCATTGAACAAAATATGTAAAAACACCAACACCTTTCACGAACCTAAATCTGCGATCAGCTGTTCAGTTCCAGAAAATTAACCCTTAGTGGATGACGCGGGGGTCCCGACAGTCCACCTTATTTGGTCGAGCGATTTGTGGAAAAATATTGTTTATTGTTTATGTCCCGGGGACCCTTAACAAGAGCTCTTGGTATGTTAAGTCTCCGTAGGGGCCCGAGTTAAATTAACTCCCGTAAAACTGGATCCACTCATCTACACATATTCCATTACGTATGGGTGAGGGTATCCCTGTTGGTTGAACGAAATTTCAGCAGTTATTTCCTTGTTTGCCTTTGTGTCGAACGTTTTGGTGTTTCTCTTTGGTTAGTGATAATATTGAGTGTATCTATTTATTAATGAGAAAGATGAAATTGTCAATTTATAATTATTAAAGCTTGGATATATATTGAAGCATGATGCAGTAAATTAAAATAGAGGGAGGACGCGTGGCGTAAGCCATGGATTAGGCCAGCCGTTACCGTTCCAGCAGAGGGTGGCCAAAATGAACGTTGTGTTTGGTCACAGGTAGGGCAGGCACGCGAAGTGATAACACCCAAGCTTCACCCACTTGATAGCCGTCTGTTTATGATTTTCTTTGTCATTAGGTTGTTGTTAGTTTTGATGTCCCGAGATGTTAGATGTCTCCTTTTTTTTGTCTACATTTGGCAGGCAAGGGGAACAACCCAGCCCTGGGGTCGACAGCTAGCCGGCATTGCCCCCTGGGAAACAAGCCAAGTGTAACAAATGGCGCCCAATTTATTTTCGAATCCGCATGCATCTGGACTGACGCAGGTTCGGGTGGTATTACAACAAAAGTCACTCGGGCTAGTAAAGGCAGATGCGGGGAATGAAAAAAAAAAAAAAATTTTGTGGAAGTGCAGTTTAGCTGTCCCGGCAGAAGTCGCTGCTGCAGGCTTAAGGTGAGCGTAAAGCTGGTCCTTAATGGCGCGGGGTGATTGATGCTAGGGATGGATAGACGGAGGCAGTTAATGGAAATATAAAATATGTGATAGGGACTTACAAATTACAGTTGAACATTTTGTCGCTATTCGATGTCGCAAGTGAACGTAAGTCACTGCCGTTCAACAAAAAAATGGACAGGGAGTTTGCGACGGACACATTGCCTGGTGGACTGTGATATCGAATAAATCTGTGATGGAATGTGATATTGGAATAAGTTAGAGTAAGTCATGTAGGTAAATGTTCATTTTAGTTTCGCACCTGTTTGTTTAAAACAAAGCCGCTTTCGTGTTTTGAACCTGTTGTCTGTCTGCCGAGATGTGGTGAGGAGTAGGTGGCCCGGGAGTCGTAAAGACAACCCGCGATACATCTGTTGTCATGGCAGATCGGTATTATGGATGACAGGAACAAATCACAAGCAAAGTGAGCTCATGCACCGTGAGGCTTCTCGTTTATCGGCCATCGCTTAGAGCGATGACTAGAGTAGATGACAGGCCACACAAAGGTGGTGTTCGTAATTGTAGGATATCCGTAGGGCGATTGTCAAGTGGAGCGCAGAAACTGTAGCAGTTACTGGTCCCGGCTAGTTACGTGTCCCCCTCTTAATGAGTCTTGTAAGAAGAAGAAGAACTGTTAGGAATTTTTGTTGTTAGGTTTTGTGTTGTGTTGAATGTGCTTGAAGTTTGAGTGTCTTATGTTATTATTTATTTATTCCAATATTTAATTGCATATATCTCGTTAACGGCGCTAGTTGGCGCAATATTTATATCGGTATTTATTTATTTATTTATCGGAGTTGTTTGGAGGGTGGCGGATCGAGGTTCAATTTCCAACGGCGAGGTGTAGGTTCCAGTTTATTCTCTGGGTATTCGCGCGGTATGTACCGGTTGCAGCGGGGGTGAAAACGTAACTACTACTTATGGTGCTTTTTCTGCCGTGAGCGCCGTGTGGATCGTGGATTGTGGATCCGAGCGCCACTCCGAGCGCGCGAGAGCGAGCCGGGC